TTTAGGGGGGTTCTCAAGCATTTCGTAGTCTATACTACCATAGCCCGAATCAAGGTCCATGGACGCGAACTTGCCCCATCCTCGGAGGTTCACGGGTGCTGAGAAGTAGGGTTAGAAGTAGGGCAACTGGTAAGTTAAAAGCTTTCTTGGGCTGCATATAGCCCTGCTTATACATGTACCCTTGACCCTCCAAGTACCCTGTGCTACTACAATCCCTATGAAGGTATATAGACAACTAGGACCCGGAGTAGGCCCTTATTCCTTTCTTAAGGTTTGGATTCCCTTATAAGCTTCTTTTTCATTCCTAGGTTACTCTTGCGTTTCGTCAACCATTGTAAAAAGGACCCCCAAAAAAGGACCCCCCCAAATTTAGAGAGCTACCCATATAGCCAATGGCCCAAATACGGTCCAGGACGTATGGCTACTTCATCGACGGCTTTGAGCCTGCCTACTGGTGGTGGGACATCCTGGTCAAGCGGGCTGATGTGGCCATCATGCGCCTTGGCTGCAAGTGCCAGGGTCTGCCAGCAATACACGCCCTAAACCCCTAAACCGCCCCGAACAACAGCCAACAGCCACCAGCAACTACAAACAACCTACAAACAACCTACAAACAACCACCGACGACCACGACGACGACGACGACGACGACGACGACGACGACGACGACGAGGACGCGGTCGCGGACGCGGACGCGTGGACGGTGTGGGACCTGTTTTCACCGTCTGCAAGACCGTTCACCAGAAACCCCAAAACCCTGAACCCTAAACCTTAAACCCTAAGCCCTACACTCTACACCGTAAACCCTAAACCCTAAACCCTAAACCCTAAACCCTAAACCCTAAACCCTAAACCCTAAACCCTAAACCCTAAACCCTAAACCCTAAACCCTAAACCCTAAACCCTAAACCCTAAACCCTAACCCTAGACCCTAGACCCTAGACCCTAGACCCTAGACCCTAGACCCTAGACCCTAGACCCTAGACCTTAGACTGAATGCCTGCGCTGACAAGGATGCTGGTGACTTATACGTCCGTGGCCGACGACGAGAAAGCGCCGCGTGGCTGCAGCGAAAGTTCTTCATAGCTCTACTTCGGGTTAAGGGTTTAGGGTTTCGGGTTTAGGGTTTAAGCGTGTAGGGTTTAGGCTTTAGGGTTTAGGTTTGGGGGTTTAGGGACCCCCCCCAAGATGTAGGTGTCAGGGCTCAGGGTGTAGGGAGTAGGGTTTTGTAGGGTGCCCAAGCCCCAAACCCTCAACCCCAAACTGCCTGAAGAGCCGTAATGTTATCAAACAACAACAACGCCAGCCAACGAATCAACCGCCAAACCCGAAGCTCAGGAAACTTCTGATCTATCCCTTCATCTCTGGTGGCCAGCTGGCCCTCACCGCCTGGTGTCGGCCCTTCCTCAACAACCAGGCAGCCAGCAGCCTCCTTAAGGGGGTTTAGAGGGCTTAGAGGGCTTAGAGGGCTTAGAGGGCTTAGAGGGCTAAGAGGGCTTAGAGGGCTTAGAGGGTTTAGAGGGTTTAGAGGGTTTAGAGGGGTTTAGAGGGTCTAGGGTCTAGAGGTGCACTTGGAGGTAAGTTGGGGCATAAACAGGGTAATTATGGGGTTCTACCCTTACTAGGTTTCTAGCCCTACGTATCCATGACCTAGGGCGGGGGTTAGGGCTCAGGGGTGGTCTTAGGGGGGTTCAGGGTTTGCGGTTTTGGGTTTTAAGGGTGCAAAGTTTAGGGCTTAGGGGCTTCAGATTTAGCAGCTGTGTGAACTCATGCAGATGCCTAAACCCTAAGACCCTAGTTGCTCGGCCTGCAGGCCACTGGAAGAGGCTCCGAAACGACGCTGGAACCCTGAATCGGGTCCCCAGGCCCTAAGCCCTAACCCTTAACCCTCAAACCCTTAAACCCCTAAACCCCTTAACCCCTTAAACCCAAAACCCCAACCCAAAAGCCCTTAAACCATTCAGCCCTCCACCCCTAAAGAAGCAGCTGGTGCAGGCGGAGGTCTTGGATTTTCTGGAGTATATCCTCTCGAGATTCTCGGACGAAGTCACAGTGCTTTGGGGTTTCAGGGAAGTACAGGGGTTTCAGGCACAGTTTCGGGTTGCAGGGTTTTTGGGTTTAGGGGTAAAAACTCTTTTAGGCTTGAACTCTAAGTGGGTGGCTGTCAAAATCATGGTCCCTTTTGGGGGTGCCCTACATAAATATTTGGTGCCGTATTATCGAGGGATCCAACAAGCGACCATAATTTTTACAACCTGTGAAATGAAATAGGCCAGGGTGGTTTTGCCGCCGAGACGGCCTGGGGTATAAAAGGCTGAATGGTTTAAGGGCTTTTGGGTTGGGGTTTTGGGTTTAAGGGGTTAAGGGGTTTTAGGGTTTAAGGGTTTAAGGGTTTAAGGGTTTAAGGGCTTAAGGGCTTAAGGGCTTAAGGGCTTAAGGGCTTAAGGGCTTAAGGGCTTAAGGTGTTAGATGGCCCTCCGCAATCGGGCCGTGCATTTTCACGAAGCTTTCGAAGGTAGTCTGAATCTAAACGCTCAACCCTCGACCCTCAACCCTAAGCCCTAAACCCTAAACCCGCAACCCTCAACCCTCAACCCTCAACCCTCAACCCTCAACCCTCAACCCTCAACCCTCAACCCTCAACCCTCAATCCTCAACCCTCAACCCTCAACCCTCAACCCTCAACCCTCAACCCTCAACCTTGAAGGAAGTTTAGGGTTTCAGGATTTAGGGTTCTCCGGGGTCCTGAACTAATCCCCTAATTACCCCAAAGACCCAAACCAAAGGCCTGAGCCGGGGGCTCTCGGGGTGGGCAGGGCGGGGCGGCATAGGATCCCGTGATGAACCTTAGCGGGTTTAGGGATGTTTGGGGGTTTAGGGTTTAGGGTTTAGGGTTTAGGGTTCAGGGTTTAGGGTTTAGGGTCTAGGGTCTAGGGTTTAGGGCAATGCAGCAACCCGTTTTGCACATGCGCTTTGTGCGAACCTTGCAATTCATCGTTTGGGTCGAGCATGCGATGTGCTCTGAGCGTTGAAGGAGCCTCCAATCGAGAAGAGCATATGGGTAGTTCGCTAAACTCGGTTCCCTTTTTCGGGTCCGGCATATAGTACGGCAGCTTATATAAGGACCCTCAAAATGGACCGTAATTTAGAGCACTAGCCATATGAAGATTAAAAGCCTGCAAGACCCGAGACTTGTACGCAAGCGCAGCTTTGGCACGCCCTACACATTCACCATCAGGGCCCCAAAGCCCTAAACCATAAAACCCTCCTGAGCCATAAAGCCCTAAAACTCCAGAGAGCCCCAAAAGCCTCAAACCCTAGACCCCGCAAAACCCTAGAGCCCCAAAAAACCCAAAGCCCTAAAGAGCGCTCAAAAGGCCCCCTCTACTTCTTAAGGACTCGAGATGTTGAACTCTAAGCCTTCAAGATTTAGGGTTTAGGGTTTAGGGTTTAGGGTTTAGGGTTTAGGGTTTACGGTTTAGGGTTTAGGGTTTGCTGTGATAGGGCGTAGATGCTGTGAAGGTTAGGTTTCGGAACAAGCTCGAAAGCCTCGTGAGATGCCGAACAGCAGCTTTGGCCCGATTGTGGAGGGCCATCTAACACTTTTCTCCCACCCCACGCCGTCCAAGGCGGCAAAGCCACCCAAACCTATTCCTTTTCGGGTTTAGGCCTAAACTCAGACAACAGTCCACTTTTCAAAACTTATTCAGTTTCATGATGTTGGTTGAATCCGAGAGTCAAGGGTGCCAGCAAGGTCTTGAAGCGTGTGGTCAGGGCCGAGAGGCTAGGGGGGCGGCCAGGTGGCGTCAGCGGGTCAAGGGGGGCGAGAGGGGGGAGGGGGCGAGCGGGGCCAGGGCCAGCAGGCCAGGGGGGCAGGGGGGGGCCAGGGGGGTCAGGGGGAAAGGAAAAGAACGTGCTCCGGTACCGGGCCCATCGTGGGTGCTACCGACCTCCGAGCTGTGGGAGGCGGGCGAACGACCTGGGTCGGCTTGCGCCACCGAGGTCGAGGGGCTTAGGCGCCGCCCCCCAACTGCAGGGGGCGGCCTAGGCCTTGGGTTTAAGGTTTAGGGTTAGGGTTTAGGGTTTTGGATTGAACCCGAAACCCTCAACCCCGCAACTCCCCCCTCCGCTACTTCTTAGGCTTCCGCTTTCTCTTCTTCAGCGGGATTGCGCTCCTGATCCTGGGCCTGCAATCATAAGCATCTAAACCCTAAACCCTAAACCCTAAACCCTAAACCCTAAACCCTAAACCCCAAACCCCAAACCCCAAACCCCAAACCCCAAACCCCAAACCCCAAACCCCAAACCCCAAACCCTAAACCCTAAACCCTAAACCCTAAACCTTAGGATTTCGGGGGCTTTAGGGTTTGGTGTGTGTGGGGTTTGTTTGTTTTTTTTTGTTTTTTTTTGGGGGGGGGTTTGCGGTATTGATTGTTTTTTTTGTTAGTCCTCCGTTTGCGGGAAGCCTGGTTTGACCAGGTAACCCCCCTCCCTCACCCCGGGAAATCCACTCCAACTTGCCCGAAACGTAGCTTCAAGCCACCGCCATAGGGGACAGGCTGCAAATAGCGCAGCTTTCTAAACGTCTCTTTGATAGCTCAGTTGCCAGAATAGGGATATGCAGGAAAATGCCATGGCCCTGTTTTTGTCTAGTAGCCCAGTTTCAGTGAACCACAAACCCAGAAACGGAGTTGGGAGCCTGCCTGGGAAGACCCGGGCCTTGGACCCTTTAGGTTTAGTCTTAGTCGTTTTTTAGGGGTTTAGGGGTTTAGGGGTTTAGAGGTTTAGGGGTTTTGGGGTTCAGGGGTTTAAGTGTTTACGGGTTTAGGGGTTTATGCAAGTGGCCCTGCGGGGTGTAGGGGTTTAAGGGTGTAGGGGTATAGGGTTGACGTAGCATTCATGGTTCTAAAAGCCATAACCCCTGAACGCCTAAAGCCCAGAAGCCCGTAGAATGTGGAAGCCTCTCAGTTCGCAGCACCGCCACCATGTCACAGAAGACATTGACTTGGACAGAAGCAAGCGGCGCTTGCTCGGAAGATTGCCCTCTCCACGCTTTCCGCGCAAGACCTTAAGAGCTGCAGCTGTCGTGCTCAAGCGATGCCGTGCCATCCTTCATGCGGTCGCCACGCCCTCATCTGCGACACTGGTGGCGTGTTGACGCGATGGTTTCTGACAGAGGGCGCTTAGAGTGTGATCAGGTGCGACCTGGCAGATTCCGACCACAAGATTGCCACTACTCGCAATTTGCACCTGTTGTCCGTCTTCAACCTACTTGATTCCTGGGTAGTTAGAAGTAGGGTTATGAGTACCCTCTGTAAAGTTCTAACCCTACGTAGAACCCCTGCTTATAAGTACTACCCTAAACCCCAAACCGTACAAGGATCAGGCCAATGAACTGGCGGGATGCGCGGCTTACGATGATTTATTCCGCGGCTAATCCAAAAGCCCGAAACCGTAGTAAGGGCTCAGGGTTTAGGGTTGAGGGGTTTAGGGTTTAGGGTTTAGGGTCTAGGGTTTAGGGTTTAGGGTTTAGGGTTTAGGGTTTAGGGTTTAGGGCCCTAGACCCCTTAAACCCAAGCCCGTTAAGCTCAAGGCTCTCAACCCTGCCAGACCTAGAGACTCAAAAATCTGTAAGTCCTAACCCGCAAGCCCTAACCCTAAACCCTAAACCCTAAACCCTAAACCCTAAACCCTAAACCCTAAACCCTAAACCCTAAACCCTAAACCCTAAACCCTAAACCCTAGACCCTAGACCCTAAACCCTAAACCCTAAACCCTGTTTCCACCGAGGCTTATCTTCCACTCCCAGGAAACGCTCAGGGCCCTGGCCAGCATCTGCGCAGCAAGTTGGACCCCGGAGAGCCCACTTAGGGTTAGGGTTTAGGGTTTCGGGTTTAGGGTTTAGGGTTTTTAGTTTAGGGTTTTAGGGTTTTAGGGTTTAGGGCTTAGGGTTTAGGGTTTAGGGCTTAGGGTTTAGGGTTTAGGGTTTAGTTAGGGGTTTAGGGTTTAGGGCTCAGGGTTTAGGGTTTAGGGTTTATTGGGGTTCAGGGTTTAGGGTTTCGCGTTTAGGGTTTGGGGTTTAGGGTTTCGGGTTTAGGGTTTAGTGTTTAGGGTTTAGGGTGCTAGGGGCCTGGGGTTTACCTGAGCGTAGTTCCATGGTCCCGTAGTATGGGGGCTCAAAAGGGGACCCCCTTATCTACCCCCATACACACCCTTTACAGCCCAAGGGCCCAAGAGTTTAGGGCTGGGAGTGTAGGGCTCCAACTCTTTGAGTAATCTTGAAGCAAGGAGCTTGCCTTAAGCCCGAGCAGAGTTCCCATGTCTAGCTTACAGCAACCCTAAACACCTTCAACCCTCAACCCTGGACCCTGAACCCTAAACCCTAAACCCTCTCAACCCTAAACCCTTCATTGTGGAATGGACGTCAAAGTATGGTCTTGTTCCGAATGCGATTAGGGCACATGTCCTGTCTGAGGGGTCTTGGGCTCCTAGGGAAGACGGCAAGGACTCTTGGGTTTAGGGTTCAGGGTTCAGGGTTCAGGGTTCAGGGTTTAGGGTTTAGGTGACATGGTTCTCGGGCTCAAAGGATTTGCTTTATGGGCTTCAGGATTCAGGGAGGTTCTTCTATGCGTATGTATAGCTTCTCGAGCTTGTGGAGCTTATGAGCTTCGTAAGGGATGGGGCCTGATCGGGTCTAGGAGGGTCTAGGTTTTAGGATTTGTTGGTTCCTCCCTCCCCGCAAAGACGGAGAGACAAGACCCTGTCCCACATGGCAGTTCTGGGGTCATTTTTCTTTTTGCTTTTTGTTTGGGGGAGCGCAGGGGCTGGGGACCCAAGTCCCCAAAGGGTTTGAGGGATTTAGGGTCTAGGGTTCAGGGTTGAGGGTTCAGGGTTTAGGGTTTAGAGTCTACATGCCTTTCTACTCTTACCATGGGTTTAGGGTTTAGCGTTTCCCACTCCACTCTTTTGCCCTAACACCTACACCCAAAGTCCCCACAAGGCGTGCTGGCCTTAACCCTGGTTCTCATGTGCCTCTACTTCCTCCTGCACGTGATTGCGCAGGTCGGGACTTCCTGAACTCCTAAACCCCTACGCAGCCCGGAGGCCCTCCACCCCAAAGCGGTTCAGGGTACCCTAAACCCCACACCCTAAGCCCTAAAGCCTAATTTCTAAACCCTATTAAACCCTAAACCCTAAACCCTAAAAACTAAACCCTAAACCATAAACCCTAAACCAGCCTAAACCTGAACCCCTACCCTAAACCCTAAACCCTAAACCCTAAACCCTGAACCCTAAACCCTAAACCCTAAACCCTAAACCCTAAACCCTAAGATGCATCCCGGCAGCAGGCGGTGCGCCAAGCCTCAAAGGACATGGAGGCGGAGGCGCACGGGTGCGGACAGGGTTCTGGGGCCTGTGCTTTGAAAAGCTTAGGGTGTATGGTTTAGGGTTTAGGGTTTAGGGTTTAGGGTTCAGGGTTCAGGGTTCAGGGTTCAGGGTTGCCGTATCCACACTTAGATGGAGGTACTTGCAACCCTAGCTACAGTATGCCTGCAATCATCGTTTCCGGAAGTGCGTCCTTCGGCACCTTTCAGTCAGGGTCAGAGTTATTCACCCCGCCCCCACCCTTTGGGGGTTTTCGAAGATAAGAGACCCCGACCCAAATAGGGTTTAGGGCTTAGGCGGTTTAGGGTTTTAGGGTTTTAGGGTTTTAGGGTTTAGGGTTTTGGGTTTTGGGTTGTGGGTTAAGGGTTTAGGGTTTAGGGTTTGGGGTTTAGGGTTTGGGGTTTAGGGTTTAGGGTTTAGGGTTTGGGGTTTAGGGTTTAGGGTTTAGGGTCTAGACCCCCAAGTAGTAGGATCCCCTTGTACTCAGGACCCCAATAAGGTACCCCCCTCAAATATCGTAAACCCCCATATGCCGCGCAGGTCGTAACTCCGATGAACCTTACAAGCGCGATCCATACGCCATATGTAAATTCAGCCTTAACCCCCAAGCCCCAGACCCCTAAAGCCCTACGTACACCCCTACTCCTTAAGCCCTAACACTAAACCCCAACCCGAAGCCCTGGATTCAGCCACATAGACGTCTTCACCCGAACCCGCAACCCCAATGCCCTCAACCGCAAAGCACTGAAAACCTCAAAGCCCCAAGCCCCAAAAACCCAAGCCCTGAACCCACCCTATCAAGCCCAAACCCTGTAAGCATAAAGCCCGAAAGCCCCAAGCCCCTAAACCTCAGCCACGCCAGTCTAGCAGGAGGAGGCAGCAACGGCGGATGTCTTCCGACGCCAGGTTCCCCGAAGGGTTTCAGCCAGGGTTCTTGGGCTCAGGTACTTCAGGGTTCTACATAGGATCCTAAACCCCAAACCCTAAACCCGTAGTTCGAGGCTAATGTTTAGGGTTGTTCAAGGTCTTTTCGGTTCGGATTTTGGTGTTGCTTGCTGTCGAGGTTGCTCTCTCTCTCTCTCTCTGTCTCTCTGTCTCTCTGTCTCTCTGTCTCTCTGTCTCTCTGTCTCTCTGTCTCTCTGTCTCTCTGTCTCTCTGTCTCTCTGTCTCTCTGTCCCTCTCTCCCTCTCTCTCTCTCTCTCTATTTCCTGGGTCTCTCTGCTCTCGTTCTCTGTCTCTCTGTCTCTCTGTCCTCTGCTCTCTGGTCTTCTCTGTCTCCGTCTCTCTGTCGCTCTGTCGCTCTGTCTCTCTGCTCTCGTCCTCTGTCTCTCTGTCTCCCTGTCATCTCTGTCTCTCTGTTCCGATCTGTCTCTCTGTCTCTCTGTCTCTCTGTATCTCTGCTCTCTGTCTCTATGTTCTCTATGTCTCTCCTGTCTCTCGTCTCTCTTTCTCTTCTTTCTCTCTTGTCTCGTTTCTCTCTTTCTCTCTGTCTCTCTGTCTCTCTGTTCTCTGTCTCTCTGTCTCTCTGTCTCTTTCTCTCTGTCTCTATGTCTCTCTGTCTCTCTTTCTCTCTTTCTCTTCTGTCTCTCTTCTCTCTTTCTCTCTGTCTCCTCTCTCTGTTCTCTCTTTCTCTCTTTTCTCTTTCTCTCTTTCTCTGCTTTTTCTCTCTATCTCTCTTTCTTACTTTCTCGCTTTCTCTCTTTCTCTCTTTCTCCTCTTTCCTCTTGCTCTCTTTTCCTCTCTTTCTCTCTTTCTCTCTTCTCTCTTTCTCTCTTTCTCTCTTTCTCTCTTTCTCTCTTTCTATCGTTTCTCTTTTTCTCTCTTTCTCTCTTTCTCTCTTTCTCCTTTCTTCTTCTATCTTCTCTCTTTCTCTCTTTCTCTCTTTCTCTCTTTCTCTCTTTCCCTTTCTCTCTTTTCTTCTCTTTCTCTCTTTTCTCTCTTTCTCTCTTTTCTTCTTTCTTCTTTCTTCTTCTTTCTCTCTTTCGCTCTTTCTTCTTCTCTCTTCTTCTTTTCTCTCTTTTCTCTCTTTTCTCCTTTCTCTCTTCCTATTTCTCGCTTTCTCTCTTTTTCTTTCTCTCTTTCCTCTTTTCTCTCGCTTCTTCTCTCTTTATTTCTTTCCTCAAAAACCCAGAACCCCAAAAAAACCTTACCAAACCATAAGCCCTAAGTGTCAATCTGACCCCCGAACCCTTGGCAACAAGTACTGCCAAAAGTGTGCAGAACAGAAGGGGCCACCTAAACCAGAAAACCCTAAACCTTACACTTGAACCATTGAAACTTAGGGTTGGGGGTTTTAAAGTTTTATTGTATAGGGTATTCTAGGGGTAACTGGGGGGGGGGGTTGGGTGTAACAGTGGTGTATGAGTTCTAGGGGCTTGGGTTGAGCTTTGGGTAAAACTACAGAATATACGTGGTTCATAGCAGGCTCCTGCCAATTTAGGGCTGTTTCCGTAGATAAGAGATCTTGGGTTCTCTGAGTAGGCTTTTCTTCACGTTTGCAGGCGAGTCATTTGCTTCCACGGCCTTCCCGTAAGTCAGCAAGAGAGAGGCGCTAAGTTACCAAGGGCTCAGATAAATTCAGGGCTCACTGCCTCAGACAAACCTATGCAGGCATCCACGTTCTCCAAAAGCGTCAACTCCTCCCAGAAGAAGCAGGAGGGTGCATGTTCGTTTAGGGTTTAGGGTCTAGGTGTTAGGGTTTGGGCTTTAGAGTTCAGGGCTTGGGGTTTGGGGATTTAGGGTTTTGAGTTTAGGGATTTAGGGTTTTGGGTTTAGGGTTGAGGAGACTAGGGCGGTGCGGCCGTGAGGGTCTTTGATGTCTCAGCCCGCCAGTCCCGATCCTAACCCTAAACCCAAGACCCGAAGCCCTGAACCCTAAACCCTAAACCATCTTGCTCAAGATGGCCAAGGGCCTTCTAGCTAGGACTGCGGGGTATGTTATATTCATCCCCGCCCCCCCCCCCCCCCCCCCCCCCCCCCCCCCCCCCCCCTGCCCCTTTCGCCCTGTCGGGTTTTGAAGAGGCGCCCTTATTCGTAACATTGATCAGTGCGTTTTACAAGGGCCAACTACTAACGTTAAACCAATGCAGGGCATAGTACAAGGGTCTGTAGGGTTTGTAGGAAAACCAATGGCCCAGGGGCTGATCCTTACAAATTTCAGTACCATTACCATTACCACTGCTGTGAATGTTATGCTTGTGCCGATTGTTTTTGTTACTGTTGCCACGTATTGCTATTATTGCTGTGATTATGATTATCGTTAGAATTATGTTTACCAGGCCTGATAGGGCCTAGGTCTAGGTTTCTATAGGGTTTATGTCTACGTTGGAGAGGAGCCCTACAGGGGCCCTACTGCTCTGTTCGAGAATTTTTTGGGGCGTCCTACGACATCCTAAATCCTAAACTGGTTTTGCAGTTCATGTGGAGGTTCATGTCTTGTTAAGGGTAGGGTTGAGGCTTCCGAGGTTCATGACAAATCACAAATCCGACTCACAACCGTATATACGCTGAACATCCAAGTTGGAGCTTCGTGGGCTCTTGTACGTAGACGGAACATCCAGCCTGAAAAGCCTGAGACCTATCCTATGCCGTAAACCCTACTTGGAGGGAGGTTCATGGTACTTACTAACCAATTACAACTACGTATAGCCCGCTTATCGCTTATGAGCCCCTTAAGTGCCCGAATATGGTTACAAGTACAATTGTAAGGACAGTTATAATCGGCTAATCAGTACCATAAACCTCCAAGTACACCCTACACCCTAAACCCTAAACCGCCCTCAGCATCTGGGTTTCACTGAGGTGCTTGTCAAAATCCTGATTCAGGGGCATCCTAGACCCTAAACTCCCACAAAATGCCCTAGAAGCCAAAATCCTGCAAGTTCCCCAGACTCTACGCCAAACCCCAAACCCCAAACCCCAACCCCAAACCCCAAACCCCAAACCCCAAACCCCAAACCCCAAACCCCAAACCCCAAACCCCAAACCCCAAACCCCAAACCCCAAACCCCAAACCCTAAACCCTAAACCCTGCATCCCGAAACGTTCGACCCTAAGCAGGAGGTCGCTGCGGCGTCCGGCTGCACAGGCCCAAGGGCCACAGGGTTTAGGGTTTAGGGTTTAGGGTTTAGGGTTTAGGAGGATTTTCTGAGGTTTTCGGGTTTTCGGCTTCGGGTTTGGGGTTCAGGGCTTTTTGCTTTTTGGGGTTTGGGGTTGAGGGTTGAGGATTTTAGTGCTTAGGGTTGAGGGCTTGGGCTGAGGTTGAGGAGTTTCCCGTACTCAAATCCCCGTGCCCTTGGAATCAAAAAACTCCAAGCCGCAAGCTGCCGGGAAGGGCTTTGGCAAGACGCCAGAGGAGAGCGCCCTTGTCTCCACTGCTCCCCTTGCTAAACAAATCCCTTCGTTGTGTAATAAGCCATATGGGGGCTTACGGTAGTAAGGGACCCCTACTATAGTCCCCTTATAAAGAGACCCCAATAGGGTACCCCTAGTTTCGGAAACCCCCCATAACGGGATTGAGGCGACATGTAACCCGACCCTTCCCAGCCCCCTCCCAGAATCTACCTGAAGAGATGCCCAAGTAGCCGTTATCTATGATTTCGCGTTGCATAAGTAGGATCTGGTTGGAAAGTGATGAGTGCGTTTCCTGTATGTTCTTTTCGCTTCTTTTGAGAAGAGGTGCTCTTTAGAAGCATTCGAGTTGCTTATGAGCTAGAAATTAGAGGTTTGAAGAGGGTGGGGGAGGTGGGGCAGGCCAGGCAAAACCCGTGCCATTGCCCCCGCCCCCCCCCTTACCCCCCGGTCCCCCCTCCCCCCGCCCTTCCCAAAACCCCAAAGACAAGACCCATAGTACCCCCCACCCCCCCCCCCCCCCCCCCAAACAAAATCAAAGCTTGTAGCTGACATGATGCTTTCAGTAACTTAATCTACTCTCAATCATATAACTTCCACCCCAAGTTAAACGGTGCACAACGTCCCTACTGCGATGAGCACAATTGGAGACAAGCTATATTAACCTAGAAGTTGCGTAGATGAAGCTGCTTATACAGTCAAGCACCTTTGGGTTCAGGGCTTAGGGATTTTAGGGTTTAGGGTGTAGGTTTAGGGTTTGGTGTTTAGGGTTTAGGGCTTAGGGTATAGGATGTGCTGTGCGTGAGGCCGTTTGAAGCGCTGGATCGTCGATCATGCGCTTCTCGTCGTGCCCACGGGGTCTGGGAAGTTCTGATTTCGCAAAAGCCTGGGTTAAGGGTTTAGGGTTAAGGCTTAAGGCTTAAGGGTTTAGTTTAGGGTTTAGGGTTCGGGGTTTAGGGCTCCAACTCGAAAGCCAGATTCGCCCTAAGCCACCAACCTCGAACCCTTCAGTCATCTTCACGCAGCAACTTCTGCATGCGGGGAATTCTTCATTCCCTAAACCCTAAATCACAAAACTCTGAACCCCAAGCCGAAAAAACCCTAAATTTTAGGTTTTCGCAGAGCTGCCACATGGAGTGACTCTTCCGATATCCAGACTTGTCGGCTGTCTCAGCGCCATCCCACAACGAAGGGAAGGCACGTGAAAACTCGAAATCCTGAACTCCTAAACCCTAAGCCCCTAAACTTCCTCCCGAAACCCCTAACCCAAAAACCCCCAAACTCTAAGCCTCAGGCCCCAAACCCTAAACCCTAAACCCTAAACCCTAAACCCTAAACCCTAAACCCTAAACCCTAAACCCTAAACCCTAAACCTTAAACCCTAAACCCCAAACTGGGCCCCAAACCCTAAACCCTAAACCCTAAACTCAGGGCCTAGGCCGCCCCCCTACGTTGGGGGGCGGCGCTTAAGCCCTTCGACCTCGATGGCGCAAGCCGACCCAGGTCGCTCGCCCGCCTCCCACAGCTCGGGATTCGGTAGCACCCGGTACCGGAGCACGTTGACCAGTACTGGTCCCTGATGCAGTTCTTGCCCGGCAGGTCTATCGCAGAATCTGGGGAGAAGGACATGCTTCTGGGCTGCTGGTGGCGTGTGGGTGGTTTGGAGACGCCCTCGCAATGTCTAGGTGCAGCTACAGGAGACATGCTGGTGACATGTCAGAGTGCTGCCCGCTAGTATTACGCGTGATGATATGAAATCCTGCGTAGTTCGCGCAGTTTCTTGCCCGAGAACTACTAGCGTGAAGCTCAGTAGATCTTGAAAGCCATGCTTGCCAAGATCCGGGTCAGCTTGCAGCTTTGCTGCGCTGCACTCCTTTATTGTGAAGATGCGCTCTGCTTTCGGGATGGGCCCCTCGAGTGGGCAAACGGAGAGCTCACGGGCAGAATCCATATTTCTGCAGCCTTCCTCCTTCCTTCCTGGCAACATGCACGGCGCTTTTTGGCCTGCTTTGGCATGGGCTGCCCAGGCCTAGGAACAGCCTAGGAAGTGGTCCGTCTTTGCATCTTTGCGGTTCAACCCCGCGGGACCTGTCTCACGAGGGCATTGCAAGCTGAGCTGAAGAGATGCGGCATTCGCCTGCATGTTGGCTCAACACGTGGCGGCGGCAAAATCAACCAGCCACCATCTCGCGCATGGAAAGCTGCAGGGCTTTTATTGTATTCGGGACTGCCAACTACGCAGCGCCAACATCATGCGATTCAAACACAGAGGAGGAAGTCGCGTACTGGCTAAACAGCCTTCAAGGCAAGCACGGGCGTCACCTCTACTTGTCCGCATGACGCGTGCCCAGTTTGCGCACGAGCGAGCGCGCCACTTGTTTGGCCGTGGCGCATTGGAGGCAATGGCCGCTGGAGGCGCCACGCGTCCAGCATTCTGTCCCTGCTGCGCTTTTGCAGTACTTACTTTTTGCCGCACTGCGCATAAAGGAAATACCCTAAACCCCCCCCTTCTTCCTGGGCGTCGCTGGCCTTTTTGAAGGGGTACCCCTCAGGGCCCCTCGCCGTGTGTTTTGGGGGGTCCCTGGCTACCTGGCCCGCCCTGGCCCTGGCCTGAGCCCTGCCTGACCCCCCCCCCTTCCCCCCTGGATACCCTGCCATTCATGAAACTGAATTAGTTTTTTGAAGTGAGTTTAGGCCTAAACCCGAAAAGGAACAGGGTGGCTTTGCGGCCTCGGACAGCGTGAGGTGGGAGAAAAGTGTTTGATGGCCTTCCACAATCAGGCCAAAGCCACCTCACGAACCTTTCGAGCTTGTTCCGAAACTTAACCTTCACAGCACCTACGCCCGATCACAGCAAACCCTAAACCCTAAACCCCAAACCCCAAACCCTAAACCCCCCAAATGCCCTTAGGAACCCAATCCGTAGCCCAGGCTTCCTCTCGTCCAGGAGTCCCTTGGCGCACTCCCTGAGAATCGTCTGGGTGTGGGTTCTGAGGCCCCTAAACCCTAAACCCTAAACCTTAAATCCCAAACCCTAAACCCTAAACCCTACACCCTAAACCCTAAACCGCATGGTACCCGTTTACCCCTTTTGGGAGTGTCTAGGCTCCCCTATAAAATTAGCCAACCCCAAAACACGAGTACCATTATGATCAGATGGCTGCTGGGGTACCAGGTCATGTGGTTTCGTGTTCAGGGTTACATGCCAGCACCTTACAGCTGGTCTCAAATAATCGGCGACCTCGGGGACAGGCGCTCCTGGCCTTGTTCTACTGTATTTTCATGCGTTTTCCCTTTTTGTTGTTATTGCGACTAATTTGTCGAAACCCCCAAACTCCCCACCCTTGCTCAAGCTCAACCCTGAACCCTAAAGGGGCCTTTTTTCACCCCAAACCCTAAACCCCAAACCCTAAACCCTAATTAAACCCCAAACCCCAAAGGGGCTTGTTTGTCTGTGAATCTCATCGGAGCCCCCAGCCCAGCAAACCTGGGCTTGAAAAGTCCTTGATGCGTTTCCAGAGAGTGGGGGTTTAGGGACGCAAGCTCGAAACCCGAGGAGGGAACAGTTGGGTGCATGGGTTTCGGGTTTAGGGTTGAGAGTTTGGGCTAGGGCTAGGGTTAGGGATCCCCAAATGTCAACAAAAAGGCCCAACACCCCCTAGGTGTCCTGGGGGTCCATTTCTACATGGTAGTTCCTGCTGCCATGCAGCGAGACACCCTGAAACTCTAAACCCTAAACCCTAGACCCTAAACCTTAAACCCTAAACCCTACACCCTAAGCCTTAAAAGCTTCAAAAGCCCAACCCAGATCCCCTGGCCCAGGTCCCAGGATGAGAAGTACTGGATGGAGCCTCCCGGGCGCACTTGTTGTGGTTCCCGCAGAGATATCTCGGGCGTAGGGTTTAGGGTCTAGGGTCTAGGGTTTAGGGTTTAGGGTTTAGGGTTGAGGGTTTAGGGTTTAGGGTTCGGGGTTCGGGTTCGGGGTTCAGGGTTGAGGCTGTAGGCTTAGAGTACGTAAAGGAAAGCACGTCATCCTCACTCAAGTCAGGCTTAAGGTCTAGGCAACGCCAACCCTAGAGACTGAAGAAACTCTAACGACTTAAACACCTGAAGCCCTAAAACCCTACTTGAAGGTTCAAGGGCACCTCAGAAGCAAGATAAATGGGGCAAGAACTATTACCTTACTTATAACCTAACCTGTTGAGTGCCCATGAACCTCCAAAATATGGGCCCGTGGGTTGTGCAGGGTATAGAAGGGGTATCTACGGGGGTCCCGCCCTAGCCCTAAACCCCAAACCCCTTCAGCCCTTAAGCCCTTAAGCCCTTAAGCCTAAACCCTAAACCCTAAACCCTAAACCCTAAACCCCAAGAGGTGGTGCGTTGAGTCGGATCACGTCTCGCTGGTCACCGCAGCGCCCAGCAGTCGGCGAAGCAAGGCCGCGCAGGGTTCAGTCTTTGGGGGGGGGGGTTTAGGGTTTAGGGTTTAGGGTTTAGGGTTTATGGTTTAAGGGTTCTTCAGCGCAGGGCTTCGGTTGAGGAGCTCAGGCTTTCCAGGTCCAGTGCGACCTTTAACAGCCACTTAGGGGTTAGGGGTTAGGGGTTTAGGGGTTTAGGGGTTTAGGGGTTTAGGGGTTTAGGGGTTTAGGGGTTTAGGGGTTTAGGGGTTTAGGGGTTTAGGGGTTTAGGGGTTTAGGGGTTTAGGGGTTTAGGGGTTTAGGGGTTTAGGGGTTTAGGGGTTAAGGGGTTTAGGGGATTAGGGGTTTAGGGGTTTAGGGGTTTAGGGGTTTAGGGGTTAGGGGTTTAGGGGTTTAGGGGTTTAGGGGTTTAGGGTTTAGGGGTTTAGGGGTTAGGGGGTTTAGGGGTTCGGGGTTTCGGGGTTCGGGTTGGGGGTTTCGGGGTTTCGGGGTTTCGGGGTGTTAGGGGTTAGGGGTTTAGGGGTTTAGGGGTTTAGGGGTTTAGGGGTTTAGGGCCGTAGGGGTTTAGGGCCTTAGGGGTTTAGGGTTCAGGGCTTAGGGCATTCGGGTCTTGTATAAGGAGCGTTTCGGTTCTAGGACTACAGGTTTTGGGCCCCTGCGCTCGCCTGAAACCGAAATCTTAATAAACGAAAAAACGCAAGAAGAACGATCTTTCAATCCCTCAGCTTAGACCGACAAATCCTCCTCAACTCTCCCTCAACCCTCCCTCAATCCTCCCCCAACCCTCCCTCAACCCCCTCAACCCCCTCAACCCTCCCTCAACCCTCCCCAACAAACCCTGAACCCTAAACCCTAAACCGTAAACCCTAAACCCTAAACCCTAAACCCTAAACCCTAAACCCTAAACCCTAAACCCTAAACCCTAAACCCTAAACCCTAAACCCTAAACCCTAAGCCCTAAGCCCTAAACCTCAAACCTCAAACCTTTACGCTGAAGCCCTGAAACTCTCGCGCAGCTGAGCGCCGTGATCAAGCACATCAGAGCCTGGCTCCTTGGACATTGTGGTGTAGGGTTTAGGGTTTAGGGTTTAGGGTTTAGGGTTTAGGGTTTAGGGTTTAGGGTTTAGGGTTTAGGGTTTAGGGTTTAGGGTTTAGGGTTTAGGGTTTAGGGTTTAGGTTAGGGTTTAGGGTTTAGGGTTTAGGGTTTAGGGTTTAGGGTTTAGGGTTTAGGGTTTAGGGTTTAGGGTTTAGGGTTTAGGGTTTAGGGTTTAGGGTTTAGGGTTTAGGGTTTAGGGTTTAGGGTTTAGGGTTTAGGGCCTGGCTCCTTGGACGTTACGTTTGGGGATTTTGGGGCTTGGGATTTATTGGGAGGTTGTTTGTTGTTTCAGCTCCCTACGCCTTCCAGCTGGATTGGTTTGGAGCAACTGGCCTTGAATGTAGGACCTACAACCCTGAAGCCGCTGAAGAACCTGAAGCCCCTGATGAGGGTTCCTTCTTCTTGGGGCGTTATTGAACGTGATGCCGGGCTTCCCAAACCCTCAACCCCCCAAAAACCCTGGAAACCCTATGCCAAAGACCGAACCCCAAACCCTAAACCCGAAGCCCGAAGCCCGAAGCCCTAAGCCCTAAGCCCTAAACCCTAAACCCTAAACACCCTAAACCCTAACCCTAAACCCTGTACCAAGAGTTGCACCTCTTAGGCTACTGCGCTTTGGCAGCAGCTTCCAGCGACGGGTCGTCGCGAAGGCGACTTATCTTTGGGGGTTTAGGGTTCAGGGTTCAGGGTTTAGGGTTTAGGGTCTAGGGTTGGGGTTTAGGGTTTAGGGTTCAGGGTTCAGGGTTTAGGGTTCAGGGTTTAGGGTTTAGGGTTTAGGGTTTAAGGTTTAGGGTTTAGGGTTTAGGGTTTAGGGTTTAGGGTTTAGGGTTTAGGGTTTAGGGTTTAGGGTTTAGGGTTTAGGCTGCTTAAGGTTTGGGTTTCACGGTCTCTCAGCCCTGAATCCTCATGGCTTTTGCTTGAGGTCTCAAACCCGAAACCCGAAACCCGAAGCCCCAAACCCGAAGCCCTAGACCCCAACCGCTCAACCCGAAACCCTGAACCCTAAACCTCAAACTCGAAACCCCCCAAACCCGAACCCCTAAACCCTAAATCCTAAACCCTAAACCCCAAACACCCAAAACCTTGTGCCAGGCCCTGCAGGAGTTCGCCACTCTTTGGCTCGAACTGTTTCACCAGGACAGGGAGTTGTTCGGGGTTTTGGGGTTTTAGGCTTTAAGGCGTGCAGGGTTTAGGGTTTAGGGTTTAGGGTTTTTGGCTTTTGGGTTTTTGGGGTTTTGGGGTCTTGGGGACAGGGAGTTGTTCGGGGTTGTGGGTTTTTGGGTTGCGATGTTCCCCCTTATACAAACAGTCCTGAACGGGGATCATAACCGTAAGGACTGCTAGTATAAGGGGGAACATCCCCCTTTCGGGGCCCTAAACCCTAAATTTTAAACTCTAAGCCCGAAGCCCGAAGCCCTAAGCCCTAAGCCCGAAGCCCCAAGCCCTAAGCCCTAAGCCCGAAGCCCTAAGCCGTAAGCCGGAAGCCGGAAGCCGGAAGCCGGAAGCCGGAAGCCGGAAGCCCGTAAGCCGTAAGCCCAAACCCTAAACCCCTAAGCCCTAAACTCTACGCCGCCAAACCCACTCTGGAGCAGAGCCCGCGAGGACGGTTTACCAACCCAGAACCTGAAGGCAAGATGTGGGCGTTCTGAGTTTGGGCTTTTTTCGGGTGTTTAGAGTTTAGGGTCTAGGGTCTAGGGTCCAGGGTTTAGTGCTCAGAGCCGCAGGGATTGCATGGGTAATCCCCTCCAAAAGACTGCAAATCATGGCCCCTACCATTGTGAAATGCCGAGGTCCTTAACTCAACGCCCTTGACCTTGACCTGAACCCTACAATCAGAAACCAACAATCATGTTTGGTTGGTGTAGGCTTTGGAGTGCAAGAGTATCGGGTTCTAGATTTCAACTCGGACCGGAGGTTCATGGATAGTTATTTGTAGGGTAATACGTGCCTCAAACGAGGTTCTGGCGACGCTTCAATGCTGCCCTCCAAGTAGAAAGGGCGGAGCTTTAAGAATTTGGCCTCCCGACTCTCCCCCTTCCTTCCCCCCCACCGAAACGCCTGAACCCTAACAACAACAAACCACAGCACCCCAAGCCACACTTGAGCTAAGGCACGTAGGGTCGAAAAACTCAGGAAGTTGGGGTATTTAAGGTTGCACCATACAGCCCTGGAGACAATAGAAACAGTGGTAAGTGCACCTATCCTAATAACAGCCAGAAGAAAAACAACCATCAAAGCAATGCTAGTTAATCAGACTACCACTACAAAATTCACCCCTAAACCCTATCCCTAAACCCTAAACCCTAAGCCCTGAACCCTAAACCCTAAACCCTAAAACCCTCAAACCCTGAAACCCTGAAAAAAACCCTAAAACCCTAAACCCAAGGACTTTGTCTTAATTGCCTTATAGCAATGAAAGCGAACCTTGGACCGAGTTGCTCTGCGGAGGTCTTGTGTGCCCTGACGACGGCCAAGACCCATGTGCCGGCAAAGACGCCCAAGAAGGAGATCACCAGAAATCTTCATCATGGGGGCTTGAGGGTTGAGGGTTTCGGGTTTAGGGTGATCACCAGAAATCTTCATCATGGGGGCTTGAGGGTTTCGGGTTTTAGGGTTTAGGGTTTAGGGTTTAGGGTTTAGGGTTTAGGGTTTCTGAAACTAGGGGTACCCTATTGGGGTCCTTATGAGACGGGAGGATCTATACTGGGGGTGCCCTACTTTCGTATCTCCCCCCGTCATTGGCAGAGGTGGGTGGAATTCCTGATGCCCTGATATTTGAATCCGACAGTCAGGGGTCAGGGTTTAGGGTTTAGGGTTTAGGGTTTAGGGTTTAGGGTTTAGGGTTTAGGGTTTAGGGTTTAGGGTTTAGGGTTATATAGGGGGTCTGCTGTTCGTGGCCAAGTCTATGCCGCGTAGCGAAACCCGAGAAGCTGAAGCCCAAAACCTGAAAACCCTAAGTCACCAAACCCTAGGGTCCACCCTCTAAACCCTAAACCCTAAACCCTAAACCCTAAACCCTAAACCCTAAACCCTAAACCCTAAACCCTAAACCCTAAACCCTAAACCCTAAACCCTAAACCCTAAACCCTAAACCCTAAACCCTAAACCCTAAACCCTAAACCCTAAAACCCTAACCCTAAACCCTTAACCCTTAACCCTTAACCCTTAACCCTTAACCCTTAACCCTTAACCCTTAACCCTTAACCCTTAACCCTTAACCCTTAACCCTTAACCCTTAACCCTTAACCCTTAACCCTTAACCCTTAACCCTTAACCCTAAACCCTAAACCCTACACCCTTGACCCTTGACCCTTGACCCTTGACCCTTGACCCTTGACCCTTGACCCTTGACCCTTGACCCTTGACCCTTAACCCTAAGCCCTAAACCCTAAACCCTCAACCCTTAACCATAAACCCTAAGCCCTAAACCCACATAGCCAAAGCCTGTCCGCAAGGATGTCCCAGACCTGTGGAAGAACCAGGCGACCGCAGTTCCAGGGTGTCTATGTCTTGGGTCTTGGGGGTCTTTAGGGTTTAGGGTTTTGGGTTT